CACACACACACACACACACACACACACACACACACAGGTTTATATATTACCACCAGGGGAAGTGCCGCCACACATAAAGTGCAAGTCTGTGTGAAACACTATGTGTGTGTATATATATATATATATATATATTTTTTTTTTTTTCTCGATTAGTTCATTCACAATGCTTTATGGGATTATAGTTCGCTCCATTAACTTTTTTTTAAAATCTCAACGGAGAAACCAAGTAGGGTTGAAAACCTGGACAGTAACTGTTAGACTCTTTTGGCTTTGCTTTCAATGAAAAGCAGCATTGTTTTCATATGTTATAGCCTATGAAAACAATGCAGCTTCTCATTGAAAGTAAAGCATAACATAGAAGAGACAATAAATACAAATATTACCAAGCATTTAACTGAGGAAGAGGCTTGGATAAGCATTGAAAGATGACTGCAGTATTCAGAGAATAGCGCAGTGGATCTTATGAGCACGAACATGCATGCCTCCACTCACACACACGGGTGAACACACATTTTTGTTGGCTAACACATGGATTATTAAGCTGCACAGATGCCTGGAGAGGAAACTGTCTGTCTCACCCAATTTAATAAGCAGCCATGCCACTTTATGGAAATAATGTAGCATGTCATTTCAAATAAGATTCGGTAACACAATCAATCATGCAAACCGTGTCAATGTCTCTAATCTTACTGGGGGAGCATGAAGTGATCATATTATTTCCAAATATGTTCTTATTATCTAACATTCACCTTGTAGATTTACAACCCGACTGGTCAAACCAAAAGGTCACGATTCACAAATAATCATTAACAGGCCACATTAATAAACCAGATACGTTATTCTGTCACAAGTCATAAGGTTGCCATACTTAAAGCCATACCAGAAGTGTACAAATGCAACACACATGACCGGAAACACAATGCGAACAAGGCACTAGTGTTAAGGAAGCCACGGAGGGAATTAAGTTAGGAGCACAGTAAGAACATTACACAACTCTATCTGTAAGAGATCAGAGGGCTGTCAGCCGCAGGGTTATACCTGAATGAAGGAGAGCATATCTCCAGAGAAGAGTTTGTGGTTGTACTGGGAGCAGGGCCTGGCTTTCCGCACACGCACTGCCCTACCAGGTTGCATTCTGGGAAATATATACACCGGCACTCCACTGTGACACTATGGCATCAGTGTACTCATGCAAACATGCTAACATAACAGTAATTCACACAGAACAGACAACAACACAACAGAAATGTACTATAGAGCATGCACACAGTTTTGAGTCAATACACACTCTATTTATCCCACAATGTTTTAGCCTCATTATGAAACTGATTGTGATTCGTTCAATCACTTGAGTCGTTTAAACTCATCATTAAATTTCTCAATGGAGCCATCTTAATTTCTGCTGAACACACAAAGACCGCCGGCCAGGAAACAAGAGCAGATGTTTGCTGGATTGTGGCCAATGTTTTCAGCACATGACTGTGTGAACAGCACATAGTCACAGAGAGACAGATGGGATGGGAGACATACCTGGAGGGATCGCTATCAATGGCCTCAGCTGCAAAAGAGACAGAAAGGAAGCATAAGGATAAAAAAAATTACAGTTAAGTTGACAGTTACTCCATCACATAGTTTCCACCAAAATGCTATAGTTACTAAAGTCACTGTTGCTACTTTAGTGTTGCAACTTTTATTGTGATAAGACATCTTACACCATCGTACCCTATATTTTTTTAGGGCACAGCGACAAACTTCTTTCACACATGCATTTTTTTTTTCATTTTATTATTTACCTACTTTCTTTTTATTCTTAGTTGAAGAGCTGGTTAGTTGTGGTTAGTTACCTTTCTGTATGGCCTCTTTAAGTAGGTCATGCTTGACTTGGAGTTTCGAGGTCAGAGAGCTGCCACTTATATGCTCCTTCACTTTCTGAAAAAAAAAATCCATTGAATACATGAATGCCAATGTTATTGTTAGTCATCAAGGTATTTACTTTTCTGCTCTAAGATTTGCATGGACATAATATGGCCAAAAGTATAACTACTGTCCAAAAGTTTGAGATTTTTAAAATGTTTTTGAAAAAAATCTTCTATGCTCGCCAAGGCTGCATTTATTTGATTAGAAAATACAGTAAAAATAGTGAAATATTATTACAATTTAAAATACCTGTTCTCTATTTAAATATATTTTAAATTATAATTTATTCCTGTGATGCAAATCTGAATTTTCAGCATCATTACTCCAGTTTGATGTCACGTGAACCTTCAGAAATAATTGTAATATGTAATATTTACTGCTCAGAAACATTTCTTATTATTATTATTAATGTTGAAAACAGTTATGCTGCTTGTTATTTCTGTGGAAACCATGATACATTTGACAAATAGAAAGTTCAAAAGAACAATTGATGTGAAATAGAAATCTTTCCTGTCTTTACTGTGACTTTTGATCTACACTGAACAAAATTATAAACGCAACACTTTTGTTTTTGCCCCCATTTTTCATGAGCTGAACTCAAAGATCTAAGACTTTTTCTAAGTACACAAAAGGCCTATTTCTCTCAAATATTGTTCACAAATCTGTCTAAATCTGTGTTAGTGAGCACTTCTCCTTTGTCGAGATAATCCATCCACCTCACAGGTGTGGCATATCAAGATGCTGATTAGACAGCATGATTATTGCACAGGTGTGCCTTAGGCTGGCCACAATAAAAGGCCACTCTAAAATGTGCCGTTTTACTGTATTGGGGGGTCCGAAAACCAGACAGTATCTGGTGTGACCACCATTTGCCTCACGCAGTGCAACACATCTCCTTCGCGTAGAGTTGATCAGGTTGTTGATTGTGGCCTGTGGAATGTTGGTCCACTCCTCTTCAATGGCTGTGCGAAGTTGCTGGATATTGGCAGGAACTGGAACACGCTGTCATATACACTGAATCATTTTACCTTGGTAACACCTTAATAGCAAACCCTTTAAGTTAGCAAAAAAATGATCATAGGTGACAACAATTGCTGGTCAGGATGAAGTACTAGACCAGTGAATAAACACAAATTTACTTATGCCATTAAGTTAGGCTTATATATATATTAATAGAATTGATATTGTATATAAACAATAGATGTGATAGATTTTTGTTTTAGAATATATTAATTTATAATACACCACTATTCAAAAGTCTGGAATCGTAAGATTTTATTACAGTAAAAACAGTAATATTATGAAAATATTATTGCAATTTAGAATAATTGTTTTCCATTTCAATATATTTTAAAATTAAATTTATATCTGTGATGCAATGCTGAATTTTCCATTCTTCAGTGTCACATGATCATGAGAAATCATTCTAATATGCTGATCTACTGCTGAAGGAACATTTCTTATTATTACCAATATTGAAAACAGTTGTGCTGCTCAATATTTTTGTGGAAACTGCGAGACATTTTTTTCAGGATTTTTGATGAAAAGTTTGAAAGAACAGCATTAAAAAAGGATTTACTGTCATTAAACGTTTAAATGGTAGTGCATATAAAATATTACTTGTATTGCACTAAAACATTACAAAAGTTTTAGTTTGTAATATATATAATTATGACTATACAAATTATAACACTAACATATTTCAAGGATTTCATTAATTCAAGAGCTACTGAAAGCCCTACTAAATGCAGATGGTCATTCTCATGCGTCACCTGGTCTCCTTCATGGGGCTGGTGCTGAAAGCGTAAGGGCAGACAGAATGCCATGTTGTGGGCCTGGAGCAGAGCATCTCTATCCTGGCCCTGGTTGAGTCCAGTCACCGCTGTGTCTAGCTGCTGAAGGCCATTTTTCATATTCTGGACAGTTCGGTTTCTGTTGGAGAGGTAACCGCGTATAACCCGAGACACAGATAGGTGATACCCCAGATCTGTGCACTGCATTCAACATCAACCAGATGGCGAGACAAAGACAAAAAGAGAAAAATACAGTCATTGTTTGAGCAAACATGACTGTTCTGATTCACACCTGCTGTGATGTTCTAGATTTGACATGTTCTACAACGTGCCTCAGGCAGTGGAAATGACAAACCTTTAGACACTTTTGAGAGCTGAAGATATCAATGCCACAAAAGATATACAGTACCAGTCAAAAAGTAGAACAATAGTGAAGTCATTGAAACTATGAAATGACACAAGGGTGGAAATGATCTAATGATTTCATGACGTGCATCCTGGGATTCTTTTAAACAGTACTAAGGGGGTTTATATGTATGCAAGACATGTGTCAGCTTTTTTCCTGCACGTTTATGCTCCTACTCACTCATTAAAAATTGTTTTGTGAACATAGGCACTATTTTTATTTGTATTTAAATGTAATTTAAAATATTTAAGTATAAATCTTTAGACCAAAGTTGTTTAAGACCATGAGAAACATAAATCAGTACAGTGCGTTCATATTTTCAATGGTAGTGTAGATGGTTTTCTCTAGAGCCCTCTCAATGGACACATTCTGCAAACAGTAAATACATTAGATAAAATGCTCTGTGCTATATTTTGGTCAAGGGTCAATTATAAATGAAAAGGGAACTAAAACCTAATGACATCAAATAAAGAGTGTCTAGACAGATGGTAATGGGACAGCAGTGTTTTAGACTCACATCAATCAGAGTGCAAATGTCCTGCAGATAGTACTTATTCATGGAGGCATTAGCTGCTGCCAAGTTGAGCAAGTAGTCGTTACGAGCTTTAGTGCACTTCAGCTGAGTTTCTTGTACTTTCCCTTGTCTCTGTGATGAAAACACATGTACAGTGGAAACTGGGGGGTTAGAGATAGTGCGAGATACTGCTCTTCCTGTGCCATCTTCACAGAGCAAAGCTCCGGATGTCACCATCTTTCATTCTTACAAACCACCATTTTTACCTTCTCCATCAGTCTCTCCATTTTTTTCACAGAACTGCGCCTCTGCCCTCCTGATTGGCTGAGCCCGAGATCAGCTGACTTGCCCGTCTGTTTCTCCTCCAGTCGTGTGGCCTCTTTGAGCTTACCTTCAGCAGCCAAACAGTCTATGTGGTACTGATGGTAAGTTTTCAAAGCCTGTCAGAAATTAAACACTTTTACAACATGCACAGCAAAAAGTAATTTTCTTAATTCATATTCATTCATCTTTTTCCAGTATTATCTAAACATCCTTAAAACACGGTAAAATTTATTTTCACTTCATGGGCAAATACATTTTTTAATTTTTTTTATTGTAACATAATGAGACAGATCATTTTTGGATTATTGTTAGATTTGTGAATAAAAAAGAATTACAAAACTAATCATAATATATATATATATATATATATATATATTTAAAATTATTATAATAATAATAATTATTATTATTATTATATGTAAGTATTATTATAAAAACGCTTATTTTTACTCCATATCTTTTTTAAATAGTTTTAACATAAGACAGATATTTTAAGCCTATTTACAAATTTAAAAAATATTTAAAATATAATAATAATGGGCAAATTAGTTTAACATAGTAAGCCAATAATTGTCATTTTATTGTTTTATTTATGAATAAAACAATATTCATGTTGTGACATACTCAAATTCAAGCTCTATTTTAATTTTTTATGATCAAGCTTAGCGTATCTATTTTCAGCGACATTAAATACCTTGTAAGACTGCAAAAAGAACATGCACGCAAACATGAAAAAATCAGTGAGCCTTGAGCCAAGACACTTGTGGTAGCCAAGCTGTTTGTCTACTGGAGGGTAGAGAGCACACAGCTGCTGTCAGCCGGGGTCAGTGGGCTTGATCTTGCAGCTCTGACCCGAGCACAGCTAGAAATGATCTCTGGAAAGCAGGGGGCATGTGGGCTTTTTGTGCTACAGGATGAACCAAAATGAACTGAAACTATAGAAAGACATGCAGACATATTCAATCATGAATGGATGTGCAAATATGTGCATCAAATTGTATTTAGTTTGGTTTAATCATGCAGTCTCTGGCCACAGCGAGATGGTGTAATTCAAGGCTGATGCAATTTGGACTCTATTTCAGTTCAGTTCTGTTTCAGTTGCTTGTAAATTTTTGTAAAAAGTTGTAAATTTAGCATGCTCACACCTAATGGCCTCCAACCTACCGTCTGCAGCTCTGTGGTGACTTTTAAGAGCTCATCCTGCATCTGGAGTCCCACCTCCTTGCTCTGAAACAGAGATTAAGAAATAAGGAAGATGGTTTGGCTGTGTTTTGTGTGGGAGTGTTATGTTGGTTAATAAGAGAGGAACAGAAGAAGGGGGATTTAGATGTCAGATCTGGTAATAGAGTGGAAGAGAGAGATTTCTGTACCCGTTTTGCCAGGCGGTGTGTGTCCTCTATGCAGTGTGAGAGCCGCTGCGTGAGTGTGTTGCAGCAAAGCTCACTCAGTGAACTGTGATCTCGGCTCTCCTGCCTGGTCTGGGTCAGCAGAACAGACCAGCACTGAGCCACCGACAGGTCCAACTGCTCCTTCCTAAAGAGAGACAGGAGTAAATGAAAGGTTAAAGTTTCAATGTAACAGAAATAGTGACAGATCTTTTCTTCTGTATTGTGACAAATCTGAGTGAAACAGGTTATCGAAAAAGAAAATATGTAGACTTGGTTCTATCTATCAGTTGTTGATTGGATGGAGGAAGATCTGAATGTGCTTGCAATTAACTGTAAAAAAAAAAAAAGAAAAAAAAGAAAAGTGGACTAAGTGGTTAAAGTCTGGTATACATCACCAGAGAGAAGTCTGGTTTCACCAGAAGATCCAGTTATGACAGTTATGAAAAATTGTTCACAATAAGATTAATGCCAATATATGCACATTCAACAATATATATATATATATATATATATATATATATATATTAATATAAAGTATATGTTCTTGAGTTAAATTCTAAAGACACCACTGAGGAATAGTAAAAACATGCAGCACAGAACACAGTGGTCTTGAGAAACAGCAAAACCTGATACACAGTTCCTTAAAACATGGTGTAAATGTCAAAGACGTCTGTATAACGCATGTTTTCATTGAAAAAAAACGAAACAAGTAGTTAAGTAAGGGATAATGTACATCCAGACGGGACCCCGATGTGAAGCGAGAGAGTGATTCTGTGATACCAGGATGACATAATTACATAATTGTTCACATAATTTTGATTTAAGTTTGAATATTTTATTAGCCAACCAAACGCAAAGCTTTCACAAAGAAAAAATGTTCCTAGCAAGTGTATAGCGCCGACTTCAGTTACCCAGATGAGCCTGTGTTATCAGCTTTTACCGGTTGTTATCGAGGAACAACATACATTGGAATGTCGCGACTGACCAATCAGAATCAAGTATTCCACAAAGCCATGTAATAATATTGAGTAACTTATATTTTAGACGTAATATTGCTAGTTGCTTTACGAACTTTTGCTCTGCCAATGAAAAAAAACGGTGTTCCTAAATGAATGAGTGTTTTTGAACTAATCAGTTGAGCAAATGATTCAATGACTCACAGAGACATTAGCTTAATTGGTTACTGAAAGAACCAGCATGTTTGAATGAATCGGTTGAGTTAATGATTCAATGACTTATCCACAGATACAGTGGCTGCATCCGATATTGCATGCTTCCCTACTATACTATAAAACAGCATGTGAATAGAACAGTATGTCCAAATTCTATTCTATCTAGAGTATTCATAGCACCAATGGATATTTTACTATCTCATGAGGCCACAGGCAGGATTTATGAATGGCAGTTAGACGAAGCAACTGATGCTGGTTGGTCTTATGACAATGACAAAATTATGAATATAGTACGTCTGGATTGCATTCATACTACACACATTCATACTATATAGAAAGTACGTTTTAGACGGTGACTAAATGATTGCTTATTCAAAAGAAATACCTACTCAGAGAGTATGCAATTTCAGGTGCAGCCAGTCTTTTATTTGGTTACTGAAAGAACCAGCGTGTTTGAATGAATTGGTTGAGTGAATGATTCATTGACTCACTCATACATATATCTTTCTATCTATCCACAGAGCTATCAATCTATAAATCAATGTCTGTCTATCTATAACGATAAGTAGATATACATCACTAGGCCACATCTCAGTTTGAATCCATCTGTGCTAAAAGCAGGATAAGTACCTCTTGGTCTTCACTGTGAACCTCTCGCTGAGTTTCTCCAGAGAGCGGGCATACTCTGCCTCAATCTCCCCCCGTCTGCGCAGGTACTCGCTAAGATCCTGCAGCTGCTGTGTCTTGACCTCCACCTGGGCATCTAGGATTTTTAGCTGCTCTGAGAGCTGACCCCGGACCTCTGAGCAAAGAGACAGAAGGGAATATGGATGGTTTTCAGCACAAAAAGCGGCATGAACTGATGACTTTGTATCCCCCTGCACTAGTGTCCCTGGCCTGGGGCTGAGAGATGATTGGATGAGGGAAGACAGCATCCCTAATATTGCCTATAAATACATCACAGTGCAGGCCTACATCTCACACACAGAACAAACATTACATGTAGAGAAGTACATTAGTCTGTACTACCTAGCCAAGTGAAAGAGACAGCATTAGATCAAGTTTTTACCTTTGATTTGTGTCTCATACTCCGCCAGACTTCCCTTTTCCTTTCTAAGTTTTCCATGCGATGTCATGTTCTCCTTTGTTGGTGTAGCGCTCCTGTTGACTTGTTCACAGTGACTCACAGTCTGAGCTGATCACGCACAGGCTTCGTTCCTCTTCACAAAAAAAACTATGCTAATTCCAGTTTCAATGTATTGGTGTTTTTATTTTTGCAAAATGAGCTATATTTCCATTATAGTGCAGAAAGGCATGCCACATTCGGTCTGGAGTTCATACTGGGCTATTAAAGAAAAACCTTTTCAGTCTTTCAATTTGTGCCCTAAGCATAAACGGAACAGGGAAGTCTCTGTGTGCACGTGTGTGTGTGTGTGTGTGTGTGTGTGTGTGTGTGTGTGAGAGAGAGAGAGTGTTTGTGTACACGGAGGGAGTTCCAATCCAAGCAATTCTCTCTCAGCACTGAGCTTGTGCATTTAAAGGTTCGTTTTCAGAGCAGAGAACGTTGCAGGGGCCTGATAGTTTTCTAGTTTTCTTTTTCCTGAGACTGTGGTTAAACGTGATTGTCCTTGCCTGGAAAAGACAGAGAGAGACACAGGAAGAGAATTTTGGTGTGACAACTGACGAAGACAAAGTACAAGACAGAAACAAACCATAAATAGAATATGGAAGTAAATTTACTTCAGAATGACGTGTCTCTGGCACTTCCAGAAGACGGTTAAGCAAACAGAGAACACCTGCCCACATCCTGTTTGTCTTCTATGGTGTGTGTGATTCAAAAAGATTCTCACATCAAGACATCCTGTCAATCCTAAATTAAGTATCCACACTTTGTACTACTTCTAAAAACAAACCTTTCAAGTTCTCAACAAGGTTTACTTTAATTGAATGTCAAGAGGCAGCCCAACAGTACCAAAGTTGTAATTATTTTTGCATAATGCAACCTGTCCATGTTGGCATCTGCCTAGTTTGGCTGCTTCCACCAAGGGACAGATGAATTTGCATTAAAAATAGAGTCTAATTGGACACAGTCTTTGATATCAACAACAAACAAAATAGGAACGGTTTTGTTTTTACTTTTAAGGAAGTCTGTTTATTTTGCTATCCTAACTATGAACAATTATATAGCTGCATTTTATTATTTGCATTCAGTATCTTCAACACTGCCTGCAATCCAATCAGACAAATCTGTGACCCAATTTGTGGTCGCAACCTGCCAGCCGAGGACCACTGCTCTAAAGCATGAGTTAATAACTCAAATTAAAAGCCTTAAACACGTCAGACAGGGAAGGGAGGAATTTTTAGAAGCTCTGACTCTGCCTACACGTGACTGATTGTTTGTTGTAGGACGTTAGGCTGAACTGTGCTAGAGTTTCTGTGAGTTGCGCCAGTGATGGCCGTTGGTCTTATGAGAGGGTGGAGGGACCTGAGTCATCATGGCTTTCGGCACAAACACACACACACTCATAGTCAGACCAGAGAGTGCTGCTCTAGCACTGTGCATTAAGAATTTAAGATACCACACATATATGGTGAGTCACCTGAGAAAAACACACACAGAAATGTTCTGCACATTATGAGCTAATGTATATACATTTACATACAAATAAAGAGGTTTCTCATCATGGTAATTTGTCTCATGTATGCACTTAAATATGTTGGTGTGCATATATGTTTTAGGCCAGGGATTCCCAAAATTTTGTAAGCCAAACCGCTTTGACAAAATATTTACTTGAGATTTTAAGTTAATATTTCAACAATTTATCAACACATTTACATGTTCACGGTTCTCTGATGTTGGTTAACGCTCACATGACATGCAAGTAAACAAATAAAATACTTAATTTTTTTGGCAAATACATTATTTTGATTGTTATTATTTTACAATTATTTATTTTAATTGTACATTTTAAAGATTTAACAAATTATTGATTATTGATATTGATATTTTGATCAACTCACAACCCCCCTGCAGTTATCTCATGAATCCCAGTTTGGGAAACCCTGTTTTAGGCCTTTGGATGCTAAATATAAATGACAAATTAAACACTGTAAAAATTATTTTATGAAGTTGTAAATGAAACATAGATTATTGGGGTACATTTTACAAGAAAATACCATTTCTATCTACTTCAAATTGCAATTTTTAATTCAATGTCTTGCAGTTTCTTTGTAATCATTTGTAAAAAATGTACTAGCTATTCATGAGTGAAAATTGTTTCAAAGTAAATCCACTAGATTTGATTTTTTCAACCCTGTCACATGAGCACAAAGCTTTTCATGGAACAATAGCAACAAATAAACACATAATTATTGCACTATACCCATAATACTAATAGTATATCAACACATTTTCTTGTCAACTGATTCCATGCAAAAGGCACATCATGCACTCTTACTAGTCATTGAGCAGTCATGACAGTCTGCTCTTCACTTCCTCCATCTGACTGTTTAGAGGTCAAAAGCCTCAGCCAGCCAATCAGAACTCAGCAGAGACTTCATTATGATAATGCTATTATTGATTCACAAGAGTTGAATCGGATTTGTGCACAATGGGGTTGAATTCTATTGCATTAGTGTATGCCAGGACTGCTGCATGTCAGTGCGTTTTTGATATATACTCTTGGTAGTAGTTTCTCTATTTTATAGAAAAGATTGAAGCATTTTAACTTTAGTCTATTTCAGATGTAAAAAAAAAAAAATGCAAGGCTGCATTTCTATAAATAAAACCCCACACGGTGTCCACTCATCTAATTGCATAATCCATTTAGCAATCACAATTTCAGCATAATGGTGGTGGTGAATCCTATTTTTAAATATATGTATATATATATATTTATATTGTCAGCAACACATAAGCAACCAAATGCCTGCGTGAAACCACTCCGGTGTCCTGACTGAGTGAATGTGCCTATTTAAACTTGATCTGTCTGCTGTATTGCGTTAAAGAAACTGAGGGGAATTGGAGATCCATGGGATCAATCCTGTTTTACGCTCCCAGAGGAGGCTGGGAAGAAGCTGAGCTCTGGTCTTATCTCTCAGAGCAGAGGACCACAGGGACCCTCACACACACACACACACACACACACACACAGTTATAGCTACCTCTGCTGTGTTCTCTCATTGCCATGGAGTGATGCTACTGCTGTACAGACAAAGGCACAAATATTAAAGGCTGAACGTGATGCATCACAAAATGTTTATTTAAGGGTATCGCTAACCCCAATATAAAAGTTCAAGTTCATTTACTCACCCTCATGTCATTCCAAACCAGTATGACCTTCTTTCTTCAGTGGAACACAACAGATGATAATAAGCTGAATGTCTAAGCTGCGCTTTTTCATAAATGTAACCATGGCTGTCAAATATGATTTTCAAGGCTCCATTTTAAGTTAATAATCACTTAACTTTCAGTCTGATCCTCACACAAAGCTATAGTATGGCTTCAAAAGACTTTCCTCATAAAATATGAGTTGGTCTTTTTTGGAGCTTGACCTCTACTTTGACTGCATGGAAAATTGCAGCTTGAACATTTTGTCTAATACCTCTTTTTATATTCCACGGAGAAAAGGACGTAATATGGCTTTGAAACAACACGTCAGTGAGACAGAATGACGACAACAAAATTATGGGAATGAAATAAAGCACATAAGCTGTGAAAGTGCACATACAGTAGCGTTCAAAGGTTTGGGGTTGAAAAGATTCTTTAATGGGGTCATATGATGCGATTTCAATTTTTCCTTTCTCTTTGGAGTGTTACAAGCTCTTGGTGCATAAAGAAGATCTGTAAAGTTGCAAAGACTAAAGTCTCAAATCCAAAGAGATATTCTTTATAAAAGTTAAGAGTCAGCCACGCCTACCTAAAATGGCTCGTTCTAACACGCCCCCACATACCTACGTTACTATCTGGGAAGATTTGCATAACGCTGCCCAAATGTTCACGCAAAGAAAGAAGGCGTAACTTTTATTCTCGCTGTAGTATTGTTGTTGCCGCCGCCATGTCGTGAAGACGCTGTTTGTTTAGTTGTGAAAGCGAAACTACTTTGTTTGGCCTTCCAAAAGAGGACGATATCTGCTTCATCATGCCTGGAGCTGATCCGCGCTGGTTGCTGAGGAAATACAACAACTTTGCGCTGTGGATCGTCGGATCGGCTTTCACCGTGAACGAAGCGGAGTCCAGCCCGGGATCGTCACATGTGGTTGCCGCAAGCCTCCTTCGTCGAATCCGCCGGCCAATTTTAATCAAATTTAATTGATTAAATTTAATAAATTTAAAGTAACTGTTTTCTACTTGAATACATTTGTAAAATATAATTTGCTCCTGTGATGGCAAAGCAAAATGTATCATCATCATCACTACTCCATTCTTTAGTGTCACATGATCCTTCAGAAATCATTCTGATATGATGTTTTGCTGCTCAAGAAACATTTATTATTATTATCAATATTGAAAACAGCTGTGCTGCTTACTATTTTTGTGGAAACTGTTATACATTTGTCAAGATTCTTTGATGAATATAAAGTTCAAACAGCATTTATTTGAAATTAAAATTAGTTAATGTACAATGTAAAAGTCTTTACTGACACTTTTGATCAATTTAAAGGGGTCATATGACGTTGCTAAAAAGAACATTATGTTGTGTATTTGGTGTAATACAATGCATTTATGCGTTTTAAGGTTCAAAAAATGCATTATTTTCCACATACTGTACATTATTGTTTCTCCTCTATGCCTCGCCTTTCTGAAACGCGTCGATTTTTACAAAGCTCATCGGTCTGAAAAGCGAGGTGTGCTCTGATTGGCCAGCTATCCAGTGCGTTGTGATTGGCCGAATACCTCAAGCATGTGATAGAAATGTTACGAACCTTAACATACTGTGATGCCATCTCCCGGCACGACGAGACAAAACCAATAAAACCCATTATAAACGAGGCATTTGTTGCATCCAGTGGGGACATAATTACTGATTATAATGACTTATACTGTGTTTTTACGCGCTGCGTTGCGTTGCGTATCGCGAGGCATAAACATAAAACCATGTCTGCATTTGTGATCGGAGAAGGAGAAACGAAAAACAACAAGCGCTACTCTACACTGCTTAAAACTCGCGTTTGAATCATCAGTGGCAAATTCTTTAAATATAAAAAATATACTTACAGGCAGGCTGTGAGTCAAAAGCGTCAGACTGTTCTTGCAAAGTTGGAACTGCCCCACTTTATAGAACAGCCTTTGAGCACAGACCCATTGTAGGCTATGCAGAACTGCAGGTTTAGGAAACAGTCCTCCATAAAATGCGTCACACAGCGTCACACACACGCGGTAACACTGAGAAAGGAAAAATTGAAATCGCATCATATGACCCCTTTAATGCATCCTTGCTGAAACAGTCTATTAACTTCTTTAAAAAAAAAAATTACCGACCCTAAACTTTTGAACGGTACTAAAGTTGCAAATCACAGCTAAAACAAACTATGTATATTTCCCACCAGCACCCACACACTCTTTCCTGACAAAATGCCAATACAATACTGAAGTCACACTATTAAGTGCAACATACCCATAACATCAAATGTCATTCAAAATGGAAACACACAGACTCGTCAAATTATACAACAGTAAACCAAAACATCACTACCTACACAACAGTATAGAAACTCATGTGATGTGACCATTGATAATGCATACCACATCCATGAAACCGTTAGCCTATTGCAACCCTGATCTCATTTTCAGCTTCAGATGTGTGTCTGTCCACAAATCTTGTTGCTAATGTTCATTACCTACAATAAATAATGAAATAACATCACAATTGCACCAAGAGCCATTAAAGTGAGCACAATTCTGAACATGTATGTTATGGACCATGGAAAAATGCATTTCTGCAAATATTGCCTGAAACTAATAAGTTACTTAAGATATGCTTTGCTCTGATAGCTGCCAATATGAAACATCAGATGAGATCTTTGAAGCATCTCAACGGTTTTTCCTAGTCAGCATTGTGATTAAGTCTCCTGTGTCTCAGATTTTGCTCCCGAGGAATGGGTACAGTAATCTCACTCAGAGATTCAGAAGAGATCTCAACAATGTCTACACTACCGTTCAAATGGTTAGGGTCCATATGTTTCTTATGCTCACAAAAGGCTGCATTTATTTTATTAATGGCTGCATTAATTTGAGTAATATTGTGAAATATTATTACAATTTAAGATAACTGATTTCTATTTGATTATATTTTAAAATGTAACTTATTTCTGTCATGGCAAAGCTGAATTTTCAGCAACCATTACTCCAGTCTTCAGTGACACATGATCCTTCAGAAATCATTCTAAAATGTCTTTACTAACATTACTGAGATTTACCTTAACTCACACATAAGCTAAGAAAGAGCAACTTCTGAGCTATAACATTTTTAAGAGATAGCGAGAGCTTTGAGGGACAGCTCAGAGCAGTAAATAGGAGCTGAGTAGAGGTCATGCTGAGATAAGACTGCTCATCTGATATTCACGATTCCCTTTCCTGCACTGTCACGCCTTTTCTGCTTGTGTACATGAAAACAAACACAGACACAGACACACTCTCTCTCCCACACACTCTAATCCCATATTAAGCAGCTTGAGTCACTGTAGTCTTTCCTGCACTTCCCCTGAAGTCTGACATTGTGACGTGCTCTGTGGGTATCAGGAGCACATCTCTCCTCTCCTGCGTTTCATCCCTGCTTTTCTGCCAAGTTTTCCCTCTGACTCATACATCTACCCTTCAATACCTCTTTTAACGGAGCATCTATCCCAGCTGCCCCATATCTGCCTTTTCAAAAGGCTAGTTCACCCAAAAATGACAAATCTGTTATTGTTTCCTCATACACATGTTGTTCTGAACCAGTTTAATTATTTTATTAATTGGAACACAAATATAGAAGTTTAGCAGAGTGATGACACTTCTCTTTTCCATAAAATGAAAGTGAATGATGACCAGAAACTGTCAAGCTGCAAAAATGACACCACAAGTGGTCCATATGACCATCATTTCAAGACTTCTAAGCCATACATTTCTTTTGTTGAGAGCAGCAGACTGAAATGTAAGTATTTAACTCTTAAAATGAAAATTAATTCATTATACTGCTGTTATCATTTACTCATGTTGAACCTCATGTTGTTTCAAACCTGTATGACATGCTGTCTTCTGTGGAACACAAAATAAAATATTTTGAAAAATGTTTCAGTGCTTATTTGGCCCATGCATTGCCCATCCAGTCTTGGTTTGGACCCCATTGACTTTCATTGTATCGACAACTGACAATGAACAAAACCTCTTCTTTTGTGTTCCACAGAAGAAAGTCATACAGGTCTGGAATGACATGCTGGTGAGTAAATGATGACAGAATTTTTGGGTCAATTCCTCCTATTAAATCTCATTCATGTTCATGTAGGTTTAATGTCAGTGATGCAAAATGTATTTGGATCTAGCGTGTCTTATAACCACTTGTGACAATAAATTTGAATATGTAAAACTGAATATTTATTTATTGAACATGTATTTTCTGAATGTGTATTTCATATGTGAATATTTAAATCCCATTAAAGAGATTTGAGAGGTAGAGGGGAAGATTTTTTTCAAAGATCAAAATAAATGCAGGTTTATTACTCACATAGTTATAGTATGACTTCAGATGACTAGGAATATTGTGCAAATTGACTACTTTTTTTCTCTTACTTAGAGCCTGACAACCATTCACTTTCATTGTATGGAAAAGACCAGCGTGAACACACTACCAAATACCTCCTTTTATGTTAGACAGAAGACAGACAACTCATACAGGTTTGGAAGGACATGAGGAAGAGTAAACAAGGACAACATTTTTATTTCAACCTATACTGTTCCTTTAAGGGTGATTAGAAGTGTGAAAATGAAAGGGAGGAGATTGTGCAAGAGGAAGAGAGAGAGAGACACAGAGGGAAACCCTCCGCCAAATGACAACACCACAGAGGTAGAGGAGGTGAGAGGGGAGGTGTTGAGGTGGAAGAATGAAGCAAAGAGGTGGGACGGACAGCCTGATAACAATCAAGGCTGAGACACACTGAAAGAGGAAGCAGCTCGTCAGTTAGCGACTTTCTCTCTCTTTGTGGTATTCATGCGCACAATCAGTCATGTATGCAAAAGCACGCAGTCTATGCGTGGACGTGATGAATTTGAATTGAATTGAATTGATGGACGCATCTGTCAAAAACACGCGCACACACTCATCCTATTGAAAGGATAACGCATGCATCTAAGAAATGCTCGCTGTCATACGCACACAAACATGTCAGTGAGCCTCCACTGCGTGTGTGAGGAGGAGGTGGAGTGAGAACACATAAACATACAACCAGTCATGCTGAGAGGACTGCACAGTGAATTTATAGTCATAAATAATAATAAAGAAAACCCAGTCTTACCTCATTCTAATAGGTTCTGTCTCTCTCTTTCCCTCTCGCTGGACACAGAGAACACTGTGTTTCAGTCACAGATTTCACGCAGCCAGTTTGATTTCACCCCCTCTGACACTCTACACACATGACTCTCTCTCAGGGAGAGCATTCAAAATAAGTTGGAAACAAACACGCACACGCGCGCGCGCGCACACACACACACACACACACACACAAGCATGCATGCTAGAAAACAGCTCCCCTTCTTTGGTTCACACACACGCGCGCGCATGCCTCTCGGTCTCCTCTGCTCTCAGGCAATCAGAGAGAATGGCACAACCGAAGCCACGCCCCCTCCGCCCCCCTCCCCACAGGCTTACTATAAATACAGAGATGGATATGAATATGCTGTCTTGTTCTCTCGTAGACTTGGACGCCCCCCGTTCTGCTCCATCTCTCATTCCTAATATTCCCTCTCTGTGGCCATGAAATGTTTATCTTATGACCTTGCATTATGCTCGCGGCCTAGCCCCCCCCCCTCAGGGAGAGCATTCAAAATAAGTTGGAAACAAACACGCACACGCGCGCGCGCGCGCGCACACACACACACACACACAAGCATGCATGCTAGAAAACAGCTCCCCTTCTTTGGTTCACACACACGCGCGCGCATGCCTCTCGGTCTCCTCTGCTCTCAGGCAATCAGAGAGAATGGCACAACCGAAGCCACGCCCCCTCCGCCCCCCTCCCCACAGGCTTACTATAAATACAGAGATGGATATGAATATGCTGTCTTGTTCTCTCGTAGACTTGGACGCCCCCCGTTCTGCTCCATCTCTCATTCCTAATATTCCCTCTCTGTGGCCATGAAATGTTTATCTTATGACCTTGCATTATGCTCGCGGACTAGCCCCCCCCCCCCTTCTCTGCGCGCGCACACACACACACACATTCAGGATTAATGTCATGAATCTATTTAATGTTCTTGCAGATGAGCTGTAAAACTGATGCTAATGCCAATCCAAAAGGGACTGAATGGGTAATAGCAAAATCTGGGCGATAAACAAACAATGGCCGACTACACACACACACACACCTGCTGGCACGTAATGGCCGGTTCACACAGAACGTGTTTTATTCCTTTCCACTGCGTTATGTTTCTCTATAAAAACATAGACCGTTTACATAGGCAGACCGTTCAACTTTTGCTTTTAGACGCAACATGTTCTTTGTGAACGGACTGTTGCTCAGGTGCTAATGACCTGTCACATCTAGTATGCAATGCATGTGCAAACATTCGTGTAGCTCATTAGATCCATAATTGTTATGCATACAATAAGAGTTTTCAGATGAGTTCTCACAGGAAATGGTGCCCACAAAACCGCCAATTTACTCAGTCACAGACTCGTGACAGCAACAGCTTCAGATGCTAAAAGGTTACTGAGAAGTGTTTGTGTGTGGGTTGTGACTTGTCAGTGTGCCAGAATTATTAAAGGGGTCTTATGATGTTGCATTATTGAACATTATTTGGTGTATTTGGTGTATTGAAATGTGTTTATGCGGTTTAAGGTTAAAAAACATATTATTTTCCACATACTGTACATTATTGTTTCTCCTCTATGCCCCGCCTTTCTGAAACGCGTCGATTTTTACAAAGCTCATCGGTCTGAAAAGCGAGGTGTGCTCTGATTGGCCGAATACCTCAAGCGTGTGAAGGAAATGTTACGCCCCTCACCATACTGTGATGCCATCTCCCAGCAGGACGAGACAAAGCCAATAAAACCCATTACAAACGAGGCATTTGTTGCATCCAGTAGGGACATAATTACGGATTATGACTTATACTGTCTTTTTACGCGCTGCGTTGCATCGCGCCGCGTAAACATAAAACCATGTCTGCATTTGTGATCGGAGAAATTACAAACAACAAGCCCTACTCTACACTGCTCAAAACTCGCGTTAGAGTCATCAGTGGCAAATCCTTTAAGTGAAAACGTACTCAGGAAACAGTCCTCCATAAAATGCTGCACACATCTTAATATTTCAGTTGAACTGTTCTGGAACAGTGTTGTAAATACAACTTAACCACTGATTTCTAGTCGTGTCCTTCCAAAGAGCCACCGGCTTGAGTGAGCGGAGGCCGGCGGGCTTGCGGCAACCACATGTGACGACCCCGGGCTGGACTCTGCTTCGTTCACGGTGAAAGCCGATCCGGCGATCCACAGCGCAAAGTTGATGTATTTCCTCAGCGACCAGCACGGATCAGCTCTAGGCATGATGAAGCGGATATGGTCACCGTGATTTTGCTAAGTAAGACATGTTCCTGGATCAACATTACTGTCCAAAAATACAGACTTAACCCAATCCCTACCCCTAAACCTAACCCTACCCATAATTTATTCCTAAAATCAGAGGGAAATGATAACTGATTAACAAGGGTGTAGAAGCACCTAATCCTGATTGTAAGCCTAAAACTGACATTTCCTGAAAAGTTATCTCTCAGTTCTGATTGGTTGATTGCAATGATGTTCCAGGATTAACAAAGATGTTGATCCAGGAACATGTTGTACTTGGTGAAATCACGCTCACCAAGCGGATATCGTCCTCTTTTGGAAGGCCAAACAAAGTAGTTTCGCTTTCACAATGAAACACACGGCAACAACAATACTACAGCAAGAATAAAAGTTACACCTTCTTTCTTTGCGTGAACATTTGGGTGGTGTTATGCAAATCTTCCCACATCGTGACGTAGATATGTGGGGGCGTGTTAGAACGAGCCGTTTTAGGTAGGCGTGGTTGACTCTTAACTTTTATAAAGAATATCTCTTTGGGATTTGAGACTTTAGTCTTTGCAACTTTACAGATCTTATTTATCCACCAAGAGCTTGTAACACTCCAAAGAGAAAGAAAAAATTGAAATTGCATCATATGACCCCATTAAAATTGTTGTTGAAACATCAATGAATAATTTAATGCTAATGAATTTAGAAGAGGCAGTTATATTTTTCATCGTTATGTAAAAATATTGGCGTCATTTGCATATCTTCTTTTGTGAGAAAGAAAGAAAAAAGTCATGGTTTGGAATGAAATTAAGGTGAGTAAATGATGACAGAATTTCTATTTTTGAGTTAACTATCCCTTTAACATCTAAAATGAGTAAAGTAATGAAATGTAAATATAGCAATGTAATTGTTTTCATTTTGTGGTTTAATATCTAATAAATAATTAAATATTTCTGGCTGACTGTACAGTAACATTCCTGTCCACAATATGGGGTGCTGTGTGTACATTAATGAGGAAAAAAATTAACTTAAATGATTTTAGCAAATGGCTGCAATATAACAAAGAGTGAAGAATTTAAGGGGGTCTGAATACTTTCCGTACCCACTGTATGTATCTAAAGACTCTTCAGAAGTTAGCTGTATGCTTTCCAGAATATAGGGCATAGTACATACGTACAACAGAAAAAAAAAACAGAATAAAAAGCATCAGTTTGCCAATTTTCAACTAGCTTTGTATTGTTACAGTGTCGGTAGTATATGAACAGAATCTTTCAGTGTTACTTGCACCAAGATATCCCCGTTTATTTGTCAGCAAAAGATGTAATATGGTGGACTTTTGACAGCTCCAAGGCTTTTGTGAAAACTATACTGAATACTTAGGACCATGTGATATTTCTTTTTTTTTTTTAATATAAATCTGCAAAAATGTCAACAATTCTGTGTTTTTCTGTCAATATGGGGTGCTGTGTGTACATTAATGAGGAAAAAAATTAACTTAAATGATTTTAGCAAATGGCTGCAATATAACAAAGAGTGAAGAATTTAAGGGGGTCTGAATACTTTCCGTACCCACTGTATGTATCTAAAGACTCTTCAGAAGTTAGCTGTATGCTTTCCAGAATATAGGGCATAGTACATACGTACAACAGAAAAAAAAAAACAGAATAAAAAGCATCAGTTTGCCAATTTTCAACTAGCTTTGTATTGTTACAGTGTCGGTAGTATATGAACAGAATCTTTCAGTGTTACTTGCACCAAGATATCCCCGTTTATTTGTCAGCAAAAGATGTAATACGGTGGACTTTTGACAGCTCCAAGGCTTTTGTGAAAACTATAGATTTTACAGTACTTTAAAAAAAAATTGCATTTCTACTGCATAGACAGTCAACTTTTATTAAAACCCCATCTAGCCAGCAGTGAAGTACTACTTTTAACAAAACAGGCAGCAATGTTTTGGGCTACAAGATACAGCTACAACGTAATCATTAGAACGGTGAATTACTGAAAATGAGTAAAATCCATCATATGAGCTAGACATGTCATAGAAAGACCTCTGAGTAATGGAGTTACTGAAAGTCATGAATTCTCTGGAACTGTTTCCTACAAGAAAGGGGAAGCTGAAATAAGAGTTAAAGTGAACTGCACGCTCATTTCATTATTGATGGGTGTTATGAAAGTTTTCTAAATAGTAACAATGTAACACTAATTTAAAGGTGATGCAAGACAATAAGCCACTCATAAAGTTATCCAAAAAGCGTAAACACTGTAGATCTCTGCAACACTGGTGCAACCAATGGCCTGAGTTTGGGGTGGGACTGTCTGTTTACTAACCAATGGTAGATAAGGGAATGTTAAAAAAAAAAAAAAAACATTATTTTTTACAATTCTGTTCAGTGAAGCAAGTGGCCCAGAAATCACACACTGTAGCTTTAAACTACAAACAGAGATAAAGACTTGCTTGTAACAGAGGCAGCCTGACAGCGCAACTCTGTGGTCATTCTTAGTACTGCATGTGTTGTGATGAAAACCTCAGCTTTGATACAAATGTGATGCTAATATGCAGACTGATGTTTATTAGTCAAACCAGCATGCACAATTTCTCTTGCAAACATCTAACTCTCATAAACAAATGGCGTACAAGTCTCTTATTCACTTGTACGTAAATAATATATTATTCATTTGCAAATGCAAATTATATGTGTTCATATTAATAACAAATTAAATTGTTATGAGGAATAATTATTGCAACATCCCAGAGTTGTGTTTATGTGCTCTAATGATGCACTAGTACAGTAGAACAGGAAATACTGACATAAAGTAAAAATAATACCATTAAGTGAATTTAGAGTCAGTAATTGTTAGTAAATTTAAGATAAACAGTTAAGGCCCTGTTAAACAGCTCTGATCCTCTGAGACACAGGATATCTACAGAGAGTACATGCTGCACATGCATGAATCAGGAACTGAGGGTAGGGTGAGGACAAGAGGGAGTTTCTAATGCAATGAGGGGTGATGTAGCTGTGGCACAGGGGTAAAAATGCACCGCTGTGTAAACTGATGTCAGTGTGGATCACCACTGTTTGTGCGTCTCATCTGCTCAGCCTGTCTCACAGCCTTCTCCAGCTCCCCCTGGGACAGCAGCCTACAGTGCTGCAGGGCAGAGAGCAGCTGGGCCCGAGAGTTACTGATGAACGAGTGGGACAGGAAATAGGGCAGACCACCTCCATTCTTCAGGAAGTAGAGCGGCACTCTGACCATACCTAATACCTGGAGACAGAGAAGAAAGTTGCAGTATATTTACGCACACAAGAAAAGAATAGACAAGAGCTTTAACCTCTAAACCATGGTCTGTGGCTGCAGTTACAGCTGCTCTCTCTATCTCTTTCAGCTCTGACTCTGTCATCTTCTTGATGTAGAAGTGCGTGATGAGCCTAGGGCTAGATGGAGAAAGGCAAGAGGACACGTGATTGTCCACGCCCACAGGCACAGCCACGCCCACCTCCTCGTGTAGTTCTCTACTAAGCCCCGCCTCCAGCGTCTCCTTAGATGGGTTCACCAATCTATAGATTATAAAATAAAATACAGCCTCCATTAATAAAGCCTGAAAACTTTAAATTCTTTTCAAGATGATTTACTTATTTTTTTTCCGTGCTGAAAGATGAACTCACCCCCCTGGAAAACCCAGCAAGCCATCAAAACGCATCTGCATCTGAATGACAGTAATCTGAATTCAGGTTCAGGGCGTTCATTTGCATTTTATTTTTAACTTGCTGTTTTAATATAGTGCACCTGTCGCAGTCGCACTCTTCAAATAAAGGTAAATAGATGTGCAGGTCACAGTAAGTGCACTCTTCCTTACCAGTACTATATGTTTGATTGGGATTTTCCCGAAGAGTTTGGCACTAGAGTCTCCGTACAGCATAATGTGACCCGCATGTCTGTAGCCCTCCCGTGTCAACGCATCTTCTCTCGTGATCTGTTCCGCCATTCCAGGACGAGCCATAAACAAACAAATGAATCAACTGTATATTTAATGCTATAGCTGTGTTGATATGAGCGTGTGTTACTACTGCGCGCAATAACGTTCCGCTATGATCACCTGACGTTCACTATTTCAAAATAATAGTCCACTGAGAACGCAGCTCTTCTAACATTGTTTATGAATTTTTTTCACCATAGTTACCACAATAAATATAAAACCCAAAGTTAAAAACAACAAAACTGTGTTGTGTTTACTAAATCTGTCATATAAAACAATAATAATAATTAAAATCCTGAAATCTGTTTAAAATGTTCAAAAAAGTGTTCCCAAATTCATTCATAATTATTTTAAAGAAGCAAGAATAATTGTTTTAACGATAGTACTTTGGCCAAAACTATTGCTACCATGGCAATTTTTGGACACAATATTTCATAGAGACCTCAAATGAAAACGATTGACTTAAACAAATGTTTTTTTTTGTAATATATTTATAGGCATATAGTTTGTAAAAAAATATTGCATAATATTTCAAGGCTATGCATATTAAGAATTCATTGCGTAGTTTTTATTAACTTCTCAGACAACGTACGTCTGTTGCCAGATGGCAGTATAGCAACTAAATTGTACTTCTGAAGATGTTAGCATTCACCAAAGAAAGAAAGAAAGAAAAAAGAAAGAAAGAAAAGTATTCCTGTTGAAAGAAGCCAGAGGACAAAGACAAAATGGATACAGTGCTTCCCCTTTATTTTATGTCACTCTGAATCTATGCCACCTGTGCATAGCACTAGAAATAAAATGCAGTGTGACTTCAAAAGCAAAGGCGATTACACGGTCATGAGTGCTAATTCCTCAGGTATGCACTGACTCTAATTTCATATTGCCCAATTAGTTTGCATAGAACCACTGCAGAGGCGGACAAAGTACTCAACTCCATTACTTGAGTGAAAGTACAGATACTGCTGGTCAACTATTACTCCATTACAAGTGAAAGTTTTGAAGACAGATTTTTACTTAAGTACAAGTACAGAAGTACTTGCTTTTAAAAGTACTTAAGTACCAAAAGTAAATTTCCTTTTTTATGTCAATGCACTGTTTTATTATGGTTGTATGTGATACTTGCAATACCTCTGAAATAACTTACAATACTGAATACACTGACTAGCTTGGGGGGGAGAGACTGACTGAATTAACCCATATTCACTTCTCATTCCAATCTGTCAAGGTTCCAATTGTCCCATTGTAGGAGACAGTGAATGAATGTGGAGAGATGCAGGTGTATGTAAGTGGGGCTGAGAATTTTAATTGCAGGTCATATGTACTATTTAAATAGTAATGATGATAGTGTAAGCCTAAACTGGGTATGTTAAGAGACAATGAGACAGGTGGAGAGATAAAGCGAGTTTATGAAGGTGTGCACATGGTCACATTCATCACAGCTTTTGTTTTGCTCATTTTGATCACTGTAAATGTATTGCAATTAAACATTCTAAAGTGATTAGCCGGAAAGATATTACAGTAATTTACATTTTTGGCCAATTACAAATTAAATTAAATTAACCAACAATATGAACTATATTAATTGGTGGATCAATTCTTCTCATTATTATTATTATTAAATTATTATATTAGAAATAAAAAATCGTAAATTAAAGAAGAATGTTAATTAATAAATTAAAGAATTTAATTATTATTCATTTAAATGTATTTTAGATATTATAGTAATGAGAAGAAGAAATAATTGTTCAATCAATTAATGTAGTTAATTAGCCTTACTGTGGAACTGTTGGACAAACAACAAAGCAACTTGGTGCATTAATAGAATTCAACTGATGTGCAGCCACAGGTGAGAGTATATGCATGTTTTACAATGGCTTTAAACATGGTTCATCCAATCAGAATTTAGAATCAAATCTATCCGCTTTATCAAATGTAACTGAAACTTTGAGCATCCACGCACATAGACTCGAATCAGGCATCTAGAATTGTTAAAGTCAACGTTGATTTTGTTAACTCTGTCCGTCCTCTCTGGGCTTACCGTGTGTCAGGGGATTGCGCCAGAATGGCTGCGCTATTCTTGAGCCTTGAGTGCTTTCTAAGTTTAAAAGGTTTATGTAAGCTGCTGGCTATTGTTCTGGTGAAGGCGTCAGGGATTGTTATGGGGGATCTTGGGGGGAGAGATATAGTGCTGTCAAAATCCAGACTAAAATAGGCAGACAGCTGTGGGTGCTCATATGTAGGTTATGTGTTTGAGTGTGTGTGTGTGTGTGTGTGTGTGTGTGTGTGAGACCTAACACAATGCAGATGGCACTGGTTGTCTCCATCCAGTGAGTCACTTGCTAAAAGACTGATTAGCTTACATTATTGCTGATTTGCGGGGACAGGCTGGCTGGTAATCCTGAGATTTGGACATCTAGGGTTTCCCAAACTCTCCTTCTCTTCATTCTCGCTCTCAATCACACACACAGGTGCAGACGTGTTGCTGTGTCCCAGGGTTTTACGCCACTGTCAGAGGCAGATCAGTGGGAAAAATTAATGTAGAATCCTGAATTGTGGAGCAGTCGAACACTGCTCAGCTGGGATCTGGTTCACATATCTGCGCCTGGTGGATAGATCACACATAGGATTTAGAAGAGCAGGAGATACTGTGTGTTTTGATTGGCAAGAGGAAAACATTTATTAAGAGGCAGTTTGTGTGTATTTCTCTTGCCCCCATTGGGCGTGGGTATACAGAATGAGACCACCCTCCTCCACCTCTGACCTTTTAGTCTCTGTGGTAGAGCCTTGTGCCACTGGATGAGAGCTGATAATCTGAAACAACTGCTCACCATGTGTAGAACTTCAAACCCTGGTTCCTGGAAGCTTTGTTCAGGTGTGCCATGTCGGCCGCTCTTTTATGGCAAATTGCATTGTAATTATTTGTATAATGTTGGAGAGAAACTAACTAAGCTGCATCACTGTTTTTAAACGCTGAACTGAGGAAATAACCAAACGTGTTCACCTAATGGTTCTCTCTCTCTGATGATTAGAGTTGGAAAGTCTGACTCATTCTAATGAATCAGTTCATCTTAAACTCTTCTCTCTGTCCTTGGTAACGGAAAGTCTGATTCATTTGAATGAATTGCTTCATCTTAAAACAGTTCTCTGTCCTGTGCAGCATTGGAAAGTCCGATTTATTCTAATAAATTGATTCTTCCAAACAAACAGATTACAAAACAATTCACAGTTTCATGTCCTTGCACCATATACTATTTTCTGTTTTGGTTATGTAAACAGGATATGTATGATGGTAACTGGATATATAAATTGGTCTGTTCAATTGAATACAGCCACGCTAATTGATCATTCATTTAGAAGCCCTCATTGTTTTGGTGTAAGCTTTGACTAAATTATAAATTAGATCACTGAATAGTTTACTTTTTTTTACGAAAACATATTCAATAACTCCAGTGTAGTTTGCTATTTGTTTGTGCGTAGCTTGTAATGTAGCTAACTGTGCTTTCAAAAATAAGTTTCCTCAACTCTAAAATTGCTGTATGAAGTAATCTAATTTATTACATCATTCCTAATGTCACTACAAAATAGAAAAAAATTGATAAATTAACAAACATAAAATATAAAAAATAATGTGTACTTATCAAAAGTCCCTTAGGGAACAGAGAGTTTAACAGCACTTTCAGCATAAACACGTACCAAACATAAATGGTGACATCTGTCCACCTCTGACAGTATTTATAGGGTGTAGATAATGTGGACGCTCTTTCAGTGTTTGATCACTGGCTGATCACTCTCAGTCATTTCTAAGGGAAACAAAACAGAGCACCGCCTCTTTAACCACAAACCCATGCCAGACAGCATAGCTATCTCTGCACGGAATGCCGGCTATTGGGAACAGGAGTTGTATTCTCTTCTATTTTCGGACTACATAGTAGGCTCTGGATTCTGCTAGAGGACACTTATCTCAGCTTTAGCCCTCAAGGTCGACAGCTTCTGAGGCGCCTGTTTGCTGAGGAGGATCTGATTGTAGGCTATCAGTAATCGAGTATGAACGTTATGCAGATCTTGTGTGTACAGTTAATGAGTACATTTAGCAAGTAATCATAAATAAACCCTATATAAAATAACAAAATTAGATATGCATATAAAACGTATATTTCTAATTCTGATAAAGCCACAAATATACCGCATATACGTGTTTGGTTCGATACTGTGGCTGTCGTTACCACAAGTAAACGCGTCTCTTCTCGAGGGTCAATTTAGTGAGAATCCAACTTTGGTGGTTACAGAAATATTGTCTGAAAACGTTGTATGCACACAAAAACCCTCTTCTCCGCACCAATCTTTTGTTTTATTCCCTTATGGGGGTTCAAGCCTTAGGGCCAGACCCCTCCACAGGCCACCACAATTCGCACCCTAAATTAGCATTTTTATTGTAATCACTTTTTGGACAATTATAACATCACTTAAGTTTTTAAAGAAATAAAGGGGTCACGTATTTAACCTCTGGACAGAAGTGCATAAATCACAACCAACAACAATGTCGTTTAAAAATAACCCCTTACAGTACGGTTCCGTCAAACCTGTTTGCCTTTTGTGAAGGCGCAGGGACGGACCGCACGGCCACTCAGCCAATGAGCAACTGAACACACACGGACACATGGGGATATCTGACATATCTCCCCAACTCTGACCTTGAGGGAAACAATAAAAGAGGACCGGGCCACTTCTTTCGAGGCCAACCCGTTTAGACATTACTGAGGTTAGTATTCAAATGCACGTGTTTCCACAGCGCTGTTTGGATGGGGCGCCGTGCCTTGCATGCGACGAGAAGTTACTTTTTTTTTTTACACACAAATTCTTACCAAGATTGTGGATTAGAGATGTTTTTTTCCCCCTATGACAAACACAACAAAGTGAAGAAAACTTTTTCTAACAAAGTTTCTACGACGTTACAGGTGTTTTGAGCGCAGGTCCGGGACCAGACGCGTTAATCATGTCCCGCTTTATGGAATTGAGGGAATTCGGAGACGCGGCAACATTTCTGCGTAAAACCAACCTGGAACAACTCGCTGCGCAGTCCCATGCGTTTGATGGTACTGTCACACATCCTGTTTGTGTC